CCACGCGTTATATTGCCAATCCCCACGCGTCAAATTACTACGCATAGAATTCCCACGCGTTATATTGCCACGCGTCAAATTACTATGCATAGAATCCCCACGCGTCAAATTACTACGCATAGAATTCCCACGCGTTATATTGCCACGCGTCAAATTACTATGCATAGAATCCCCACGCGTTATATTGCCACACGTGGTATTTTCATGCGTTATATCGCCAGACGTCAAATTATCGTGTATGGAATTCCCACGCGTTATATTGCCATACGTCAAATTACTACGCATAGAATCCCCACGCTTTATATTGCCATACGTCAAATCATGATGCATGGAACTCCCACGCATTATATTGCCACCCGTCAAATTGTCATATGTGGAGTTCCGACGTGTTATATCGCCACATTCGTGGTGTGTTAAATTACACAGTAATGTAGTGAAATAGTAAAATAATAGTGTAGCAGTATAATAACACAGTAAAATAATAAAATGTACGTTTTATCAGAAATATATGCAGACCCTCAAATAGAATCTCGTAGCAACATACTAAAATAAAATAGCTAATAAAGAGCCGCACCGATAGCACGTAACGTAAAAGTTTGCGTTAAAAAATGTTTCCGCAAACGACTCGCAATTAGGACAACTAATTATGCGTTAATTTCCCGTGATGAAACTCGGTCTTGGGGGCAAAGTGTGCGCATAGTAAAAGCAAGCACGTGATACAGCACGGCCTGTTCGCATATGAATTACGATTAGAAACGAACGCGTGGCACGGTTTAGCCGTGTCTCGTGTACGGAATACAATATTGTATGTAACGCTTCTAACGGGTCGAGAAACGGCCGGGACATTCGTTATAAACTTTTCCGTTCGTAATCGGTGCCACCGGTTATTCCTGAACGCTCAATTAATGCGGCGCTCCCAGGTCCATTAAAAGTTGCTCGAATTAATGCCGGCGGCCATAAATAATCGCCGTTTTCGACCGCGAATTCTTCCTCCGCCGATTCTTGCCGTTTTGCCATCGGTCCCGAACCCATCGTCCGATTTTTCAACATCAACCAACGGGCCTCAACTTCGCAACGTTATATTATCCTCGGTGTTTCCCACGGCTGCGTTGTAACTCGTTACATCACGATGACCCGGAAGATTGTAATTTATACGCTTATCTCGCGAGATGAGGAATTACGAATCGGCGCGTTCCGTTTTATCCGTTGATTCCGCCTGGAATCGTTTCGCGAACGACTCGCGGTTGTTGCGGGATCTTGAGATTAGTATGGAATCGTGGAACGATTCTATATCGCTATAACGAGGGAAGTTGGTAATTTGAAAATTCTCCTTCGCTCGAATGGGAGTTTGCACGTTCTATGACGAGAGCATCGGACTTATTCCCTAGAGAAAACTATCGATATTTTAGGCAAACGTTTCTCTCAAGATTATTTAATTTGGGGATTTTTTAATTTAGGGACTTGGGAATATGAGAGTTCTGAAACTTGAAAATTGTAGGTTCAGAGGTGTAGAAATTTAGAAATCTAGGAATCTAGGGATATAGGAATCTAGGAATCTAGAGATCGGGATACTTGAAACTAGAAATCTAGGAATTTTTGATAGATATTTTTGGATCTAGGGATGCTTTGACCCTGGGATATTTGGATCTAGTGAAATTTGGACCTAGGGAAATTCGGATCTAGGGAAATTCAATTCTAGGCAAATTTGGACTTAAGGAAATTTGGATCTAGGGAAATTTGAACCTAAGGAAATTTGGATCTAGGGAAATTTGCACTTAGGGAAATTTGGAGTTAGGGAATTTTGGACTTAGGGAAATTTGGACCTAGGGAAATTTGGAGTTAGGGAAATTTGGATCTTGAGAAATTTGGACCTAGGGAAATTTGGACGTAGGTAAATTTGGATCTAGGGAAATTTGGATCCAGGGAAATTTGGATCCAGAGAAATTTAGGTCTAGGGAGATTTGAACCTTGAGAGATTTTAATCTAGGGAAATTTGGATCTTGAGAAATTTGGACCTAGGGAAATTTGGACGTAGGTAAGTTTGGATCTAGGGAAATTTGGATCTAGGGAGATTGGAATCTTGAGAGATTTTAATCTAGGGAAATTTGGATCTTGAGAAATTTGGACCTAGGGAAATATGGACGTAGGTAAATTTGGATCTAGGGAAATTTGGATCCAGAGAAATTTAGATCTAGGGAGATTTGAACCTTGAGAGATTTTAATTTAGGGAGAGATGAATCTAGGGAAATTTGGATCTAGGAATATTCGAATTCAGCATCTAAAGATGTAAGAATCTAAGAATGTAAAAATCTACAAATCTAAGAATATTAGAGTCTAGTAACATATTAATCTAGTATTCCAAAAATCTATTTTACCAAAGAAATTCAGAAGTTTAAAAATAAAAATGTTTGACAATTCCAAAACTTGAATGCTGAAAATGTAGAACAGAAAATGTATAAAAGCTAGCGAACGTGTTTTCATTGGAAAAAAAATAGAACTCTATCAATTATCAAATAAAAAGTGAAAAAGCATCTTGGCGTTTTTAATTTGAAAGTTGTTCGGAATGCGTAGTACGCAACACATTTTTCATAGCAGCTGTTTGGGATGATGGTCAAATAGTGACAGAGGTAATCCGTAACAAGACATATCCATCTCGGAGTCATTTGTTAGTTGCTGACACGCTAAACCCTCGATATATCAATCACTCTGTAACAGGTATAGTCGTGCAAGGAATCAGACATGTGTTCCACAAGACTTTGCTCGCGGTTGTCTCATCGTTTTGCTTTGTATTCAACTTTTATTCGATCATCGTCGACGATAATCTTACGTCTAATGGCCCTCCATTTTCTATTCTGTTATATTATCACCTCTCAAGATATAATCGTTGAATAGCAGACATTAATCTTTGGAAGCTTAGCAAGGTTCAAATTTCAAGATTTGTGCAAATTATACAAATTTCTGTATTTATACAATTTCATGTTCTTTAAAATTCCCAAATTTTCATATTTTATAAAATTCCCAAATTTCCATATTTTCTGAAATTCCCACATTCCCAAATTTCCATACCTTCTAAAATTCCCACATTCCTAAATTTCCATATCCTCTAAAATTCCCACATTCCCAAATTTCCATACCTTCTAAAATTCCCACATTCCCAAATTTTCATATCCTCTAAAATTCCCACATTCCCAAATTTTCATATCCTCTAAAATTCCCACATTCCCAAATTTCCATATTCTCCAAAATTCCCACATTCCCAAATTTCCATATTTTCTAAAATTCCCACATTCCCAAATTTCCATATCTTCTAAAATTCCCACATTCCCAAATTTCCATATCCTCTAAAATTCCCACATTCCCAAATTTCCATACCTTCTAAAATTCCCACATTCCAAAATTTCCATATTCTCTAAATTCCCACGCTCCCTTTCCAAACGTTTCCGAAGTACCGAAGCATCGTAATTTTCGAACCACAAAACTCTTGGCGAAATTCTCCGAGCGAGAACGAACAAAGCGGTCGAATAGAACGTCCGATCGGTTCGGGACGCTTTCCGAAGCGACTATTAGTTCATCACCGGCCGCAATTCTCTTTACTTCTGCAGCTTGTTCAGAAACACGATCGCCGAACGATTCCCCGCTCGTGTCAGTGATTTCTCGCCGCCACGCTCCCGTTTCCCTTTCACTGACCAGACGAATCCGTGCATCTCTCCCATTTTACCGATCGTTCTTTTCTTTTTCTTGGCGTAGTTCCACGTTCGCACAGGATTACAGCACGTACTGGGTCGGCGTTGAATCGCCACGAGTTAACGTTCGCAAGCGATCCATCGACGTGTTGACCTCGTCCACGCCGATCACCACGCTCAGAACAACCACGCCGCCCTATTACAGCCCGACCGTCGATTACGAGGTAAGCATTCTTCCCCGATACCTCGCTGCGGGTCGAACGTGTTCTTCGCACTCGATAATCGTAAATGCACTTTTTTATTTTACATATCATAGCAAGCGATCCATCGACGTGTTGACCTCGTCCACGCCGATCACCACGCTCAGAACAACCACGCCGCCCTATTACAGCCCGACCGTCGATTACGAGGTAAGCATTCTTCCCCGATACCTCGCTGCGGGTCGAACGTTAGGTGACGATAATCGTACCGCAAATGCACTTTTTTATTTTACATATCATTGGGTAGAATTTTCTGAATTTTTATATTTGGGTTGGGAGGTGGAGGTCTTGCGAATTCTTGTATTATTTGCTTTATTATATTATTATGGTTACTATATTAGTATTGTGGCGGTTTCACTATTATGCTGCTAGGTGACGATAATCGTACCGCAAATGCACTTTTTTATTTTACATATAATCATTGAGAGATTGGGTAGATGTAAAATAAGTACTTTTCTGAATTTTTGTATTATTTGAGTTGGGTTGTAGATAGTTTTATGAATTCTTATACTATTTGCTTTATTATAGTATTATATTACTATTGTATTGTGGCGGTTTCATGATTACGCCGCTAGGTGGCGACCGAGATCGACTTTCTCGCTAGTACTCATCATGCATTCTGCTACTACAAACAGTTCTTATCCATTTTTTCCATATATCTCCATGTCTAAGATGAATATCTGCTAAGATATTTTACTGATGAGTCCTCTAGTAGGTCCAGGACTAAATGTTTCTCTCCTTCATTTCTCCTTAACCCTTCATCCGTGTAGTAAAACCATTAAACAAATATCTTTTCATTTTTTCAAATGTATATAACGTACCAGACCTACTTCTAGCATGAAGTATACTTCCAAATAAGTATGTCACAAGTAGGCTCTGAGTTCAACTTGACATTGGACCTTCCTTTACATTTTCTCATCAAATTTTAATTGTTTAAATAATTCCTCAAATTTTATTCTTCATACCACTGCATGTATTCATTATTTTGTTTGATCCAAAAATCGAAAATCCAACCCGACAGTTCGATAGAGAATAAAATCCCGAGGATACGAGAGAAAAATTGACTTGGTTACTCAATTTTTGTGAGCTGCAGAGCGGAATGAAACAAAAAGTGCGTTTTTTCCGCGGCGTGCGTCGCTGGACCGTGATCGAGAAACTTCGTTGCGCGATGGAAGGAAAATCGTAGTCGATTAAAATATCGTTTGCGGAAAGTTTTGTCTGCTTGGGTTTTTCGCCTCGGAGCATGAGTCACTCTGCAGAAATCCTCGACTCGTCATTGCGCTGTCAAGAGGTCGTTAGCGACTTATGTTCGCGGAATATTAATGGTGCCTTAAAAATTTACTGCTTTTTTTTTTTTGGTTCAAAGAACATTTTCTGGTAGATTCAATATTGATAACTTAAGAAAAATCGTGTGAATTTATGAAACATTTTTTGGTTTCTTGAGATACAAGATAACTTAATAAAATTTTTTAAAATTATTTAATAAAGTTTTTCAAATTCATGCCTAATTTTTGAAACTTGTCCTAGAGATGTTTTAGGTGACTTGTTAGAGATGAGCCTATGTAGATTTTTATTGAAAATTATTTAAGTCTCTGATATAAAAAAAGAATGCATTGATAAAATCATTTGAGTTTCGAATAATTTAACTTCACATTTCAGAGCACATTCGTAAAAACTTCTCTGGCGAAATTATTCGAATTTCACGCGATCGAAACGAGCGAATTACTAGACTAGAAGACGCCTTTGAATAGCCGAACTATTAAAAGTTTCCCAGTTCTAGTGCAAGACCGAGATAGGATCGACGTTCATTTCGAAGTTTCCGTGAGCAATTTTTCGAAATTTTCTTTCCGGGGTATCCGTTTATCGGGATGATTAATAACGATAGTTAGATAATTAATGATACGTTTTTAGAGTTGCGAGCGGATAGAAATGTTCGATATAATTGTACCTCGAGGTTATTGATAAACGAGCGGTGTTGAACTATTATTCTTCGAGTCGAAAGTAAATTCGTGTTTCGACGAATATCCTTATTATGATTCCGGCATGTATTATGCATGCACATATGTGTAGACTAGTTAACCGTGCCAAGCGAAATGCATAATTTCCTCGGCGGTATAGTAATTCACGTGCATGAATCACGGTCGGCAATTCTTATCAACATCGTCGCGCTCGATCTTCATTGTTTCAACAAGCTTGATTACCGCATTTCACTTACAACAAAATCTTACTTAAATCATTCTATTTTTACTATTCAACTATTTTTTCTTGGCGAAAAAATTTGTATATTTCTGGATATTTATGATATTGATGATACTGATAATATTGGTAATATTGGTAATACTGATAATATTGATAATTTTGATAATACTGATAATATTGATAATATTGATAATTTTGATAATACTGATAATATTGATAATATTGTTTATAGTGACAATATTAGTAATTTTAAAAAACATTGATAATACTGGCAATATTTATAATATCAATAACATTGATAATATTGGTAATACTGATGACATTGATAGCATTGATAATATTGATTATAGTGACAATATTGGTAATTTTGAAGACATTGATAATATTGATATATATTGATAAATATTGAGAACAATAATAGCCTTTATAAAATTGATATTTCTGAATATTGATGATATTGATAATATTGATAATATTGATAGCATTGATAATATTGATTATAGTGACAATATTGGTAATATTGAAGACATTGATAATATTGATAAATATTGAGAGCAATAATAGCCTTTATAAAATTGATATTTCTGAATATTGATAATATTGGTAATACTGATGACATTGATAGCATTGATAGCATTGGTAATATTGATTATAGTGACAATATTGGCAATATTGAAGACATTGATAATATTGATAAATATTGATAAATGTTGAGAACAGTAATAGCTTGTATAAAATTGATATTTCTGAATATTGATGATATTGATAATATTGACAGCATTGATAATATTGATTATAGTGACAATATTGGTAATTTTGAAGACATTGATAATATTGATATATATTGATAAATATTGAGAACAATAATAGCCTTTATAAAATTGATATTTCTGAATATTGATGATATTGATAATATTGCTAATATTAATAGCATTGTTAATATTGATAGTATTGATAATTTTGATAACATTAATAACATTGAGAACATTGATAATATTGTTAATATTTATATATTGATAATATTGACAGCATTGATAATATTGATTATAGTGACAATATTGGTAATTTTGAAAACATTGATAATGATAAATATTGAGAACAATAATAGCCTTTATAAAATTGATATTTCTGAATATTGATGATATTGATAATATTGCTAATATTAATAGCATTGTTAATATTGATAGTATTGATAATTTTGATAACATTAATAACATTGAGAACATTGATAATATTGTTAATATTTATATATTGATAATATTGACAGCATTGATAATATTGATTATAGTGACAATATTGGTAATTTTGAAAACATTGATAATGATAAATATTGAGAACAATAATAGCCTTTATAAAATTGATATTTCTTAATTTTGTTAGTATTGGTAATACTGATGACATTGATAGCATTGATAATATTGATTATAGTGACAATATTGGTAATTTTGAAAACATTGATAATGATAAATATTGAGAACAATAATAGCCTTTATAAAATTGATATTTCCTAATATTGATAATATTGATGATATTGATAATATTGCTAATATTAATAGCATTGTTAATATTGATAGTATTGATAATTTTGATAACATTAATAACATTGAGAACATTGATAATATTGTTAATATTTATATATTGATAATATTGACAGCATTGATAATGTTGATAATATTGATAACATTGAAAGTCATCATATTGTACCAGACTTTTGGTTCCTCAACATTGTCTATTGTATTCTGTAATTGTCCAAGCAACCATCTCATAGTAAATTGTTTGCATAGTCTTTTTGAGTAAACTTTTACCTTTAAATTGATGTGTCAACTGTTATAATGCTACTTTTATGTCATCATATTATACCAGATTTTTGGTTCCTCGACATTGTCTATTGTACACTGTAATTGTCCAAGCAGCCATTTTGTAGTAAATTGTTTCTGTAACTGTTCATACAGCCATTTCGTATTCAAAACATCAACAGTCACTAAACTTCAGGCTTTAAATAGCTACAGAATAAGTGTCCCGATACATAATATCAAATTCTATCAGAGTTAAAACGTATTAACATCAGCCATAACTGTCCAATCAGCCATTTTGCATCGAGGTCATTAATAAACGGTTTACGCCGTTGTTTTCAACAAACAATAATTTCCGAACAGTCAGAAGTATTCACCGAGTTTCTATGACCTAAATTTCTATCGGACTTTTAACGTTTTGATATGTCGGTTACCGCCATAACTGTCCGCCCGGTAATATCGTATTAAAGCAATTAACGAACGGTTTATTTAACCGCTGCCACGGAATCGAATGAAAATTTTCGATGACACGAAATACGTATAACACTGCGCTAACTAATTATATAATTTGAACGGTTAATTAAAGACGGATTCATAAACAGGCGAGTTGAAAATCACGGTAGGAACAGTACAAGCCTTCAACTTACGATTAGACACAGCTCGCAAAACAGAATAATTGGCGTGGAGTGTTGTCGGTCGTTAACCGCTAGATACATACGTACGTTTTCAAGCTTTTTATTTTCATTAAGTTACCCGTTTGATCGTCGCCCTGGAGAATCTTATACTGACCGGCGTAATTAGACCCGTAATTATTGTAATTACTCGATGAATAAAGATAAGCTGAACACGTGTACGCATTATCAACCGCTTTTTTCTCTTCCTCTTCGTTACGAATATTTGCACGGGTAACGTTGGTGTGATTTGTATAACTTTGTCAAAAAATGGATCAATATTTTTGCAACTAGGGACATTCGGATCTAGAGATATTGTGATACAAATTAAAGCTAAAAGTTTGCTCAAAAAGACTACACAAAATTAATACAAATAGAGTCATTTGACGTTACAAAATAATACTATGTCGTACCTTGTAGAATGACTACATATGAACACATGTGACATGTGTCATATGTGACTACAGGACTACATATGTCATATGTGACTACATGACTACATATGTCATATGTGGCTACATGAATAGATATATCATATGTGACTACATGACTACATATGTCATATGTGACTACATGACTACATATGTCATATTTGACTACATGACTACATATGTCATGTGTGACTACATGACTACATATGTCATATGTGACTATATGATTACATATGTCATGTGTGACTACATGACTACATATGTCATATGTGACTACATGACTTCATATGTCACATATGACTACATATGTCATATGTGACTGCATGACTAGATATGTCTTATGTGACTACATGACTACATATGTCATATTTGAATACATGAGTACATACATCATATGTGACTACATGACTTCATATGTCATATGTGACTGCATGACTATATACGTCATATGTGACTACATGACTACATATGTTATATGTGACTACATGACTACATATGTCATATGTGACTACATGACCACATATGTCATATGTGGCTACATGACTAGATATGTCATATGTGACTACATGACTACATATGTTATATGTAACTACATGACTACATACATCATATGTAACTACATGACTACTTACATTATATGTGACTACATGACTTCATATGTCATATGTGACTGCATGACTATATATGTCATATATGACTACATGACTACATATGTCATATGTGACGACATGACCACATACATGCGTCATATGAACACATACACGTGACACATTAACACTAAACCTACCACCATATAATGTGTATTTAATTTGAAATTAAAAATGAAGTTCAAAAATAAATAAACAAACGACGAAGCATAAATTAGTACACACATTTAATCTTTATCTTCATGAAAATCAATTCTGATTTCAAGGAATGTATTATAACAAAATGTGTACCTTATAATAAGAAACTTGTGGAGCGGTCATTTGACTGATTTGGTAGTTTTAGTATTAAAGAATGCAGTTCCATTTAATTTTCCATTTCACACTAAATATAACACCAGTCCAAGCAACATGCAAATCTTACAAAGATGTCCATGTTTAATCACACCTCCAGACATCATTGTCCAAAGGTTTCTAAAGTAACCTTAGTCCAAGCAGATTAACGAACGACAAATGACAAGATACGGGTCGGCTAATTTTTTTGCGTGTCGTCCTCGTTACCGGTCTACTTTCGAAACGAGATCGCCGTGAGAAAAGGCGAATGAATCCGCCTGTTTCTCGGTTGGAAACTTTATCGATGAGTTTCCAGACCGAAGGTCTGAGCTAGCCCATTAACCGCGCCGCCATGCAGCCTGCTTACATACACACGCGTATATATTACGAAAGCAGCATTTTCGGTGAAAATAAATCTTGCGAGAATCTGTTGAAAGTTTCCCGCCTCCCGCTGATTCATGACCGGCGATAAATGGAGGCTGCTTGATGGATGAGCTTTGCATTAACATTTATGCGAGCATACCCGTCCTTTATTGTTTCGTTTTATTACATTAAGTCTCTGTTCGAGATATTTAAATTTCTTGCTGCACAGGATTTTGATTTATGGTCCGCAGTTTTTCTTGCGAGATGAAAATATTCTTAACGTAGTCGTATGCCGCTTTTTTCGATATTGCGTTCTGCAAGTTCGTACGGGGTTTGGGAAATGTTAGGTTGTTAGGTTGGTTACGGGTCTAATTACGCCGGCCAGGGTGTTGGGTTAGGTTGGTAGGATGTAATGTGGAATTAGGAGAAGTAGTGTGGATGATGGAGGGATAGATTCATGGGATGTGGAGTAGATTTTGGAGACTTTGAAATGTGTGTATGGGGGTTTGAGAATTTGGGAGTTTGCAATTTTTGGGTTATGAGAGTTTGGGACGCAGAGGTCTTGGCATGTAGAGATTTGGGGATGCAGAGAATTGAGGAAGATGGAATACGGGGACGTAGGGATTTGGGGACGTATGGAATTGAGGACGTGGGGATTTGGGGACGTATGGAATATGGGGACGTAGGGAATTGGGGGCGTAGGGATTTGGGGACGTATGGAATTGGGGACGTAGGGAATTGGGGGCGTAGGAATTTGGGGACGTAGGAAATTGGGGACGTATGGAATTAGGGACGTATGGAATTGGGGACGTAGGGAATTGGGGACCTAGGAATTTGGGGACGTATGGAATTGGGGAAGTATGGAATTAGGGACGTATGGAATTGGGGACGTATGGAATTGGGGACGTATGGAATTCGGGGCGTATGGAATTGGGGACGTAGGGAATTGGGGACGTAGAGATTTGAGGATATATGGAATTGAGGACGTAGGGAATTGGGGGCGTAGGAATTCGGGGACGTAGGAAATTGGGGACCTAGGAATTTGGGGACGTATGGAATTGGGAAAGTATGGAATTAGGGACGTACGGAATTGGGAACCTAGGAATTTGGGGACGTATGGAATTGGGGAAGTATGGAATTAGGGAGGTATGGAATTGGGGACGTATGGAATTCGGGGCGAATGGAATTGGGGACGTAGGGAATTTGGGGACGTAGGAATTTGGGGACGTAGGAATTTGGGGACGTAAGGAATTGGAGGCGTAGGAATTTGGGGACGTAGAAATTTGGGAATGTTGAGATTAGAGGACGTAGAGATTTAAAAATATTAATTCACCCAAAATATGATACTTACCAACATTAGTTAATGTACCCTTAACCCGTTCATCAATCAACCCTCCACAGTTACTACCTTTAATAATATAACTTTAATAATGTATTAATACATCCATCTATACAAATTTCATTTTATTTTTGTTTTTAGACAAAAGACTCCGAGAATCCTTTGTACGCTGGATGTGGCACAACGAAGAATTGTTTTGGCACACCAGCGAAATGTACAGAGACGAAGAACTGTATGGCGGTGGTCACGGTCCTCGTTCGTGGCGAACGATATCTCTTCGAGCTGCAAGCACGTGACAGCAAATACGTTGCTGTTGGTTTATCGGAGGACAGCAAAATGGTAATTCGATTGATCTTGTCAGCTTAGTAAACTGGCGCTGTAGTGAAATTATTATGATATACGAACTTTGAAATATACAGGGTGTCTCACATTAGTGTACACACAATTATGTGTAGTGTGAAATGGTAGCTGACGTGATTTTGAATAAGATTTTCTTTTGCAAAAATTCGTTCTGAAGCTTCGTTTTTGAATTATTAAGGAAAAACGCGTACCAATCAGAGCGCGAGACGTGTGCGCAGACGCGAGACAGCTCCGCCTACCGGCTGAGCGCGTGTAATCCTCGTGCTCTGACTGGTCAGTGTTTTTCCTTAATAATTCAAAAATGAAGCTTCAGAGCAAATTTTTGCAAAGGAAAAAGTTGTTCAGCATCTCGAACCCCACCAATTCCGAGAGTTATATTAGTTGTGAGATACCCTGTATATGGAGATGCACTTCCACATGACACGTGTTCGATTCTAGTGAAAAGTTTGCTTATGTAGTTCTGGTTTTGTAGAAGAAATGTACTTTTGCTTATTGTTAAAGTGTTTAGAATTTTGTGTGAGTTGGAAGAGGTGTGACGTAGAATTTATTTATTTATTTATACATTTGTTTAGTCATTTATTTAGTCATTTGTGTAATTATTTATTTGGTCATTTATGTAATCATTTATATAGTCATTTATTTAGTCATATATTTAGCCATTTAATTAGTCATCTATGTAATTATTTAGTTGGTCATTTATTTATTCATTTATTTAGGTATTTATTTAGTCATTTATTTAGTCATTTAGATAGTCATATATTTAGTTATTTATTTAGTCATTTATGTAGTTATTTATTTGATCATTTATGTAGTCATTTATATAGTCATTTATTTAGTCATACATTTAGTCATATATTTAGTCATATATTTAGTCATTTAATTAGTCATATATTTAGTTATTTATTTAGTCATTTATGTAATTATTTATTTGATCATTTTTGTAGTAATTTATTTAGTCATATATTTAGTCATTTATTTAGTCATTTAGATAGTCATATATTTAGTCATTTATTTAGTTACTTATTTACTGCCTTTGTAGTCATTTATAAACGATCGAATAATTAAAAGGTATGAACAATAATCGAATTTGTTTTACAGGGCGAAGACAGCGTAGTCGAATGTACAAACGAAGGCGGCGAAGTTGGATTGCACATGTCTTGGAACTCCGGGAAGCAAAATATACGGCAGCCCATGGTACGTATCCCATTATACATGCTCGCAAGAGAATGTTAAAACACTCTCTCTGGCTGAATATTAAATTCTGCCGTGCGAAGTAATGAGCTGTTTAAGTAACGAGTTTCATTCGTTTATTATTCGAACCTTTACGAGTGCAAAGTTGACGAGGCTACTTATATCCTGCAGCTTAGATATTTTATTCGCGGCGGCTTGAATCCGATTAATATTTCAGCCCGATCAAGCTTTGACGCGATACCGCCCGCTATCTTCTTACCGTTCATAATTCATACCTCATTTTATCTCCATTTGTTCAATTTCAAACCGCTTCTACAGCGGGTCAATTATTTAACGTACGAAGCTCTTTCGTTTAAATATTTATTACGCGTACGGGTGTTCGAGTTTCGAAGTAGAAATCTTGCGTGCTTGAAGATTTCGACATTTTTAAATGTACGAATTGCACAATTGTTGTTTAGATTCTTGAATATTTGCGTCGATAAATATTTATGATGTAAATCGAAAAATAGAAAAACTGCAGAACTGAAAGGTTGGGAAATTAGAGTTTAAAATTTGAAGAATGCTGCAGAATAATTGAATAATTGAACAATTGAGCAAATGTAGAATTGCGGACTTGTAGAATTGAATAATTGAGTAATTGAATAATGGTAGAATTGAATAATTGAGCAATTGAATAACTGTATAATTGTTTAATTGTATAATTGTATAATTGTATTATTGAATAATTGTATCATTGAATAATTGTATCACTGAATAATTGTATAACTGAATAATTGTATAATTGAATAATTGTATCATTGAATAATTGTATCACTGAAGAATTGTATAACTGAATAATTGTATCATTGAATAATTGTATCATTGAATAATTGTATCATTGAATAATTGTATCATTGAATAATTGTATCATTGAATAATTGTATCATTGAATAATTGTATCATTGAATAATTGTATCATTGAATAATTGTATCATTGAATAATTGTATCATTGAATAATTGTATCATTGAATAATTGTATCATTGAATAATTGTATCATTGAATAATTGTATCATTGAATAATTGTATCATTGAATAATTGTATCATTGAATAATTGTATCATTGAATAATTGTATCATGAATAATTATCATTGAATAATTGTATCATTGAATAATTGTATCATTGAATAATTGTATCATTGAATAATTGTATCATTGAATAATTGTATCATTGAATAATTGTATCATTGAATAATTGTATCATTGAATAATTGTATCATTGAATAATGGTATCATTGCATAATTGAATCATTGAATCATTGAATCATTGAACAATTGAAAAATTGGGCAATTGTACAATTGAACAATTGAACAATTGTAGAATTGAAGAATTGTAGAAGTGAAAAATTGTAGAATTGAAGAGTTGTAGAAATGAAAAGTTGTGGAATTGAAAAGTTGTGAAATTGAAAAGTTGTACAACTGAATAATTCAACAATTGAATAATTGAAAACTCGAAAATTGAAACTTTCTAAAACCTTCTAAACACAAAATCTTTTAAATCTTCCCAATTTGAAAATAAAGAAAAATTTGTAAATTCCTATAGTGTCACTAATACATTTCACATCAAGTTAATTACTAACAAAATAATTTTGACAAAATAATCATGGAAACGTTGAAACTGAAAAATAAATGATATCAATTAAAACCATTAAAGTGAGTAAAGTTAACGAATTCCACAGCGAAGGTCGACTTTCGCACGCGACGTAACATCGTTACCGATCACTCCTCGAGAACTATTGAATTATTTCGCTGTTCGTAAGAAACATCGAGCGACCTTGCTCTATTTACGATTTACTTTCCAGCAAGAAGGTGCCGTTCAACAGGAGTCGGGTTCAGTCGTGGATGACGTGATCTCCTGCAAATTCTGGCGGGAGAAGACGACGGTCGTGGAGGGTCGCGAATTCGATCTCGTCAATAAACCCTACAATCTTCTTGTAGCTGCTGGAAAAAGCTTAAAGAGTATGTCATTGTTCATACATTTTTTTCTTTCGATATACTTTAGAAACTTACAGCTGGGTCATTCCAGATAGGTCATTCATTTAGACAGATAGACATTGAAAAGAACGCAAAAAAACAATTTGTTTAAATTTTTCGACATTCCATAACAAATTGACGGAATTAAAAAAAATATTTTAAAATAGTTCAATCCTTTATGAATAAAACAAAAAAGAATTTAGTTAAATTGGTTGAGTAGTTTCTGAGAAAAAAATTCGTAAGTGAAGCCTGTTTATGAATTAATACAGGGTGTGTCACAACTAGTGTTCTTCTGACTGGTTTTCCTTAAAATTTTTCGTTATTATAAAACAGATGGACAAAACCACAAAAAATATTTTAAAGTAGCATAATCCTTTGTGAATAAAGCAGGAAAGAATTTAGTCAAATCGTTTAAGTAGTTTCTGAGAAAAAAATTCGTAAGTGAAGCCTGTTTATAAATTAATACAGGGTGTGCCACAACTAGTGTTCTTCCGACTGGTTTTCCTTAAAATTTTTCGTTATTATAAAATAGATGGACGAGGTCACAAAAAATATTTTAAAATAGCATAATCCTTTGTGAATAAAACACAAAAGAATTTATGTAAATCGGTTGAGTAGTTTCTGAGAAAAAAATTCGTAAGTGAAGCCTATTTTCTTAAAAATGGGTAAAAATTGCAAACTTTGAAAGCTTGTTATTTTTTAACAAACTCGAAACGGACAAAATGATGACATAAACCCTCCCTAATTTCACATGGACTACAACATACTTTGATTAGAGTAAAATCGTAGATAGTGACGTTTAGTAGTGATGGGTTCAACGTAGAATGAATTCATATTTTACTGAAATAAGGAAATAGGAGTTGTAAAATCATAAAGTAACAAAATTATGAAAACAAAGAATATCTCCAGAGACAAAACTTACAAAAATGGTATAAATTTTTGTTCAGTTAAAAATAATCTACACTGAGAAAGTTACAACTCCGTAACAGTATCCTCCATCGAGAATAAGACTCTAAAAAGTCTGAACGATAAAGTCGAGTTTTTGTAAGGACGCATTCCACTCGAGCGCATATCCGCTATAAAACTAAACCTTCGAACTCAAAAACAGCTGCGTATCACGACTTCGTCGAGAACGTCGTAAACCTTTGTCAACTTCTAATAAATACAGACTCGTAACACTAGCTCGTTCTTTCTCGAGTTTTTCGCTCGAGGATGCCTCTATTCCCCGAGCTTGTTATACAGGGTGTTAAAAATAAGGAAGTTGTAGCATTGGGAATCGAATGTTATACCGCGATACTTTCTTCGCTGCGAGTTCACACGATGTACAGTAGACTTGCGTTATATTGCCACTGTTGGGATGTTTACTATGGGAACGGCATTTTATGTTCGTATTTTGAAGCTTGTATATTATAGATTTTTTGTTTTGAATGTTTGTAGTTTGAAGATGTTAATGAATTGAATAAGACACTTGTAATTTTGAGAAATAAAATTGAACATTTCTAACTTCAAAATATAACAAATTTAAAAATTTGTGAATTGGAACATGTCTAGAGGTTTCAATTTGAAAAGCATTATTTTTGAACTTGTCTGTATATCAATTTAAAAATTGATGGTTTGTAAATGGTGTAGTTTGTAAATTTACAAGTTTGAACATTTTTGTACATCTACATTAAAAAATTGTTTTTATTTCAAATATTCAAAATTATGTAAATTTAAAAATTAAATATGTGTAAACATGCAAATTTATAAATTAAAAAATTTGTAAATATGTAGATCTATAAATTACTAAATTTGAAGACAAAAATATGTAAATTTTGTTATATGTAAAAATCTTTAAATTTGAAAATAAGCTAAATAAAAGTAATTAAATAAGCTAAACTAAATAAATAAATTTGCACATCTGTCTCCTTAAATCCTCCATTCAACATTAAAAAAATTAAAAATGATTTACTAAAGAATGATTTATGTTAACATTTAGGTAACGGCGTAGGATTTCACGACACAGCATACGACGCGACCGGTGCAGCAAAATTATTATCCGACGTCGGAGGTTTCACAACAGCCAGCAACATTTTAATTCGAGTGCACGGTGCTTTGATGCTGGCATCTTGGATCGGTACGGCGTCGATCGGTATCCTGCTCGCCAGATATTACAGGCAAACATGGGTCGGTTCGCAATTATGTGGAAAGGACCAATGGTTCGCTGTAAGTATTCACTTTGTATTGTGATTGTATCTGTTAAACTAGTGTCTGTTAAACTAGTATCTGTTAAACTAGTATCTGTTAAACTAGTATCTGCTAAACTAGTATCTGTTAAACTGCATAGTTAAATGGGTCTTTGTTTGACCGTTGAAAGGCTGAGAATATAAAGGGTTGAAGGTTTGAAGGGTTGAAGGGTTGAAGAGTTGTGTATAGTCATTATTGCATTGGTATAATTAGGAGTTTTGATTGATATGTTATCAATAGAGGCGATGGAGGATGAATAGGTATTGAGTGGGTAATTTTGGGAAATTTGGAAATTTAGGAATTTAGGAATTTGGAGAGGTAGTTTGGAAATTTAAGAATTTGGATAAGGTAGAGATTTGAGAATTTAGACATTTGGATTAGGAGTTTGGTAATTTAGGAAATTGGGGAATGTAGAGATTTGGGAATTGGGAGATTGGGAATTTAGAGATTTGGAAATTGGGTGATTGGGAAATTTAGAGATTTTGGAAATTGAGAAATTGGGAAATTTAGGAAATTGGGAGATTGGGAAATTTAGAGATTTGGAAATTGAGAAATTGGGAAATTTAGCAATTTAGAGATTTGGGAATTGAGAGATTGGGAATTTAGAGATTTGGAAATTGGGAGATTGGGAATTTAAAGATTTGGAAATTGAGAAATTGGGAAATTTAGGAAATTGGGAGATTGGGAAATTTAGAGATTTGGAAATTGAGAAATTGGGAAATTTAGGAACTTGGGAATTCAGAGATTTGGAAATTGAGAAATTGGGAAATTTAGGAATTTGGGAATTTAGAGATTTGGAAATTGAGAAATAGGAAATTTAGGAATTTGGGAATTTAAAGATTTGGAAATTGAGAAATGGAAAATTTAGGA